CATGTAATGAATTTTGTTCTGACTTAAATACCGTAAATATTCGTAATTTCCAGTTTCATTTTACAAAATGTAAATACCTGGATATTTTACGTCATGTACAAGAGAGTGATTTCTCGAGAGATGGAGAAAACTTTATTTAATCAAATTTTGAGTAAACGTAATTGAATAAACGAACAGAATAATTCAGTTACTTTGCGTTATATTAAATTTACTAAAAATATCTTAAATCGAATCGTTAAGAGAGGAAGAAAGAAAAAAAAAAACAAATAAAATCATCACTCTTTGTTTGCATAATCGAAACGAAGAAATTATTTTGCAATTATTCTTTCCAATAAAATATCTTAATTAAAATTTCGTTCAAAGTTTAATTCTATTCAAAAATCTCTACAAATAAAGACACTATCACACATTAATTCGAACTAAAAATCAACTCGAATTTCCGTGTACTTAAAAATTTATCTCTTCCCGAATTTCGAATACAAAAGAACGAAAAACACGTTATTGTACAAAAGCAAATGATACGCAAATATTTTCCTTTTTTTCCTCTTATAATCGTCGTAGAGAAATTAATTAAATCTTATAAATTCTCTTTAGCTCGAAAAAACTCTCCTCGAGAAAAACTTTTACATTCGAGTTTTCACCGTACGCGTCATCACTCGCCTCGAGCACGCATTCCCCTTGCAACGTAAAATCAACGATGGACCGCGCAACAGGTATCCTCCCACGTCCAACTGCCGAGAAAGAAATGGTGGACGTTCCCTTCGTGACGTTAACGATCCCCCTCGATCCCCCCCTTTGATCCGTTTCGAAATGAAACACTCGTCAATCGCCAGTAATAACTTTCGATCCAAAATTAAAACGTGTGTTGCTAATAAGCAATAGTTAAACTACTGATAGATCCATGGTTATACTATTGGATGTCGATTAACGGTAATAACGAGCGACGAGTAAATTTAATCTACTCGTTGAACGTGATTGGAACACAGGTGACAACACAGAATGCATTAAACAATGCGTGGATCCACGGCGACAGCGATGTCGATTAATTAAAGAGCGAGAAGCTTAACCCGCTTCGCTAACACGCGTCAAACGTGACGCGCGTATTGTGTTTCAATTTTCTTTGATGTTTATACGCATCGTATCTTATTTATTTTCATAAAGCTATATATGTGTATATATATATATATA